TTGGCCGGTTGATTCACCATTGGCGCCAGATCTTACTAAGCGGGAGGTTTGAGGTGAGCCGTTCAGAGTTTTTCTTCACAAGCTTCTTTTGTTGTATTGTTTTTCCTGTTAGTGGTCATTTTGCCATCCACCTTTTTTAGCTCGGACTGCGGCGATTCAATGGTTGATGTTTATTGGTGCTCTGACATTTGTGGGCCGCACGAAAATTGTCACAAACGATTTATACCACCCTTGCAATCTAGTGGTATTCACCGCGCACCTGTGCAGCGTATCCTGTGTTCTGAGGAACGTGTTTTTCTACTTGTTATCATGTGAATGAATGTCACACTCCAAGGAGATCTGGGCATTTCGATCGTCAGTGGACAAAACTCCGAGTAGTGGAGGATAGGCATCCGTGGTCGCTAGCCTTCCTGTAAAACGTCAGTGCCCTTTACGTCGGCATCAACAAGGAGTGCATTTAACACCAGGCACACGATGAGGCGCCTGCGCACGCTCGACGATCAACGCAGAGGTGTCCGGCGCCTCTTCTGACTGCAAGGTCAGCGGCGCCCAGATGAAGAATTATAATTTAAAGAGCACGGCCGCCGTCCATGTCCCCCGCCGCTTTGGCCAGCACTGCGGAACAATCGTCCCTGCGTCACAACTGGCGTCGCGATGGTGCGCGGTCGCCATTCGGCCATCAGACGCGGGTTGTTTACTTTAACAAGTATATACAATGACGCCTGATGGAGTGGGACGTTCGCGGAATGCCAAGGCCGCCAGGGCGTGGACTGATTTTAGTGCCAGGAAAATCGACGCAGGTTCACGGGCCAAACGTCTTCAGCCCAACAAGCCTCTTAAATTACCAGGGATTTGTTGGGATTATGCAGGATGAAGATGGCTGCCAAGATCTCAACGGACACGAAGACTGACCGCGGTCGTGACGGTCGAAGTTCCTCTGAGACGGAAGAACGTCACGTCTGATGGGCGACTGCGAAACCGCCGAAGGCACCAGACACCGAGAGTTCATGAAACGGAAAACAAGAGATCGCTACGACCAGGAAGGCGTAGAACACCCGAGGGCCCAATATGTGACCGGCAGTGGCAGCAGGCTTGGTGTGGCCTCCAGGCGGTTGAAATGCAACGGATGTTGCCTGGTTCCAAGGAGTTGCGGATAGAACGGGGAGAAAGGTTAAGCCGAACCCAAAATGCTACAAAAGCTGTTTTTCCCCGAATTCGACACTTTTCAATCTGGGAAGGGGGGCAGGGGCATACCTAGCGGAAAAGTGCACTATATGGTCGCGAGCTCAACATGGACTAAGGGTTCCAAAGAACTAGAAGCGCCGTCAGTATGACGGTGCACGGACGAAATCAACACGGATGCCAAAGTCGAATGGATCGTGTATGAGTATGAAGAATAACGATAGCATAACCAAAAGTCTCATCGGGTCAAAGCATCCTACAATGCCGCTTACTTATGACGACCATGTATGATCATTACTAACCGCTTTTTTACGCATGCTCACTGTTAACCACGTATTTTTACATACAGGTATGATTATTACCTGACGCTTATTGTTGCGTTCTAGACGATTTCGATAGAAATGAGCCTCGGCTCTGAACAAAGTTCTCCTGCGTTACGACGGCGACAAGTGGACGGTGCAAGATCTCATGAGATGGGCAGACGCTAGACGGAACAACATTCAGGCACAATGTGACAGGATGGATGCCATTAGGACGGGTGTGGCAAAAGTTATGATGAAACCCATGTTTTAGTTGGGTCTTTGGCGACAAATAGCTGTTGATAAGTAGATCACGTGTGTCGAACTAAGAAGAAGCTAATCGTGCGAAACGGCGATTTTTAAGTTTTTTTCTTTCCAGTCCATGCTTGTAATTTACGCAGATTAGAAGGTAATGCTGGGCCTGGCAATCAGCGGCGCGGATCGGTCGAGGGTGTTGGGTGCTGGTTGCGCCATCATTGTTTGCGTCGGCGCTGCATGGAGCAGACGGGCTTTGGGGATCATTTTATTAAATCATCTTTCATTGTGGACCATGTTTAGGTACGTATCGCACCGCGTGCGTATTAGGAAATACATCAGGATAGAGGAATTTGTTTTGTTACGTCTGCGTCAAACATGCTACCGATTTTTTTTAGTTTCATTGAGTTGGTAGGAAGAGATCTGACATCAGAACTGGCGATACATGCATGGGCTTGCTTATAGCCAGCCAATAGTAATTTAATCAACGCAGACATTCAACAAGCATGCGTTTAAATTTTAAGCAGAAAATCGCTCATGTGAGTCGTGTGATTAGAAAATTACTCCTAAAACTTTTAAAACCTGTTGTTTAAGTTTCGCACCGTTATACTGCCTAAACGACAATTGTTATATTTCTTCGAATGTGGTATTATAACTTATCTGCTATGGACGCCAATAAAAGTTTCAAAGCTGTGTTTGTCGTGTCCCAGTGCCGCGCATTGTGCACCTACCCACCTCATGCGGGGGGGGGGGGGACTCGTCGGTCAGGCGGGGCATGGGGTAGGGTCAAGTGCGGGCCGGGCACACCCGAACCAGATGTGGTGGGCAGGCGTATAACGCCCAACGCTATCGACAAGATAATATGTCATTGGTGTACTATTGGCAAAACTATTGCATTGGTGTGACACGCGTCATTTATGAACTGGGATCTAGTGCACATATCCAGGACATGTGAAACAAAGAGGTTTGGAACTTGTTTCGGTGATCACATTTTCTAAGAAAAAAAGCAGATTGCATCACACTGGAAAACATGCTTTCGCAGTTTTACGTTCGTGCAGATATGCGACTGAGCTAGAATTGTCAAATTAATGATTATTGGTCACCACAAAGCTAGCTACGCTGTCACCACGTCATGCCCTGATTTCTGCCAGACGTTAACATACGTATTGAAATGCGGCGGCTTGCACCATCCATCGTGCTAGGGTTAAACCTTAGTGCCATCATGCACGTTGTTTGCCCTGTATCTGCCCATCGCATGGCGTGCGCATCGCGCGGTGGTCATAATTACGACGGTGGTCGCGACTGTAGGGAAGACGCGTAGTGCTGTCACAGAGCGTTGACAGCATAATTTGGACTTGAAGATAATTGAGATTGATATCATTGCTATGTCTTGCGGGTACTGCAGTGCCACTACCCAGTGTTTTTACTAGACTAACTGGTCTGGAGGGCATTTGAGTTTGTTTATGAAAAGTGCCCCAACTGTGTAACGCTCCATTTAATATGGTTGCAAATTTTGGGAAATGTTGAAAAACTGAGCTTACGGGAGTCTTAGATGAAAGGCTTATGTTATATCTGCCCCGCCATCTTTGACATTCGTAACATTTTTTCTTCTGCATAACCATTAAGTTGAGTGCCGGCCCGGCGCTCAATAAAATGGATCGGGCAATCTGAAAACCTGTCCCACGGCGTACTTACCACGTGGCTCCAAATGACATGAGCGCACTGGGCACGCGCAATACCACGTTCTCGCTGAACATTGCTCCGTGTCCTGCCTCCTTTCATTTCGTTCCTGTCAGCCGCGCCAGCATGTGCCAGCTATCGCCGTCCTGTTTTCTTGATTACCGCGCTGTGTGACGTCACGATCACGGACCGTGCGGTAGCTTGCTCCAGGCTGACCCGGCCCAGGTGCGCCGTGCCCGCCAGTGGGTCGATGGTGATGTCACTCCGTGGCGGCTGCCTCAGTTAAGTTGCTGGTGTCATTGATCGCATGGCGGTGCGCCGTGACCTCGTCTTTGCTCTTGAGGTTATCGAGCTAAGGTTCAGTGCATGGTCGAGTGCATTGCGCTTGCAAGCCTAAGTCTAAGTGTAAGTCTCGAGTCTAAGGGATTGTATCGCGAGGGCTGATTCCCCCGACCTTTTCGCCAGTTTTGCGTTATCCAATTCAGAAACTGGGACTGTGGGGCTGCGGTGGTGCCATCTGATGCGTGCGGTTGTTGGCCGGGCATGTGACCGCTCCATTACGTGATCTGGCCTTAGGCTTTGGCTTTATCTCAGCCGGTGCTTCTATCTGGTCGGCTCGTACGATTTTACAAATGAAATTGCCTCATATGGAACTGGTGCACTCATGTGTCACGGCCAAATGGCCCTGGGGCAGATGCGACGCAGGAGGTTTCGGGCCGCAGAGTGTGGAGTGGTCCCAAAACGGAGCGTGACTTCGAAGCAGTCGCTGGAACGCTGATAATGGTTGCCGACCACCGAGGCGGTGGCGTGGACCCAAGAAGATCAAGACTTGCCCCGATAGCTACGCAAGGTCAGGATCCTGAAAGCGTCATGCCATCATTGTTGACCATGTAGCCGTTTGCGGCGAATGTTTAAGAAGACGTGGATCCTGGATGGGCATGACAAAGATAAGGTCACGAAGGCAAGTGAAAAAAAACCGAATGTACGCGGTTGGTAGGCAGAAGCAGGAATTGACAAACACGCCGGGGAAGGCCTCGCGGGTTTCGCAGCCAGTCCATCTTTCGAATAAGATGTGATTCACATGGTCGATGAACGTTACAACATAAAACGGATGAAGAACACGTACCGATGACGGGCTTGTTATACAGGTCATAAAGTCTGCGGTCACGGCTACCAAATGGCGAGCATTTGCCCGTGGCATCTGGCAATCCCGCTGTTGCCACTCAAAGAAAAGTCGCGACTATCATATCATTCATATGTCATTTTCGCGGCATCAATATTTCGCAACTATGCTTGCTATATACCGCTGAATAAAACAATGTCCCTTTGAGGCGACTAATTTCGATTTGTTCAGCGGATATACAATGTATTTAGAAGACTTTCCAGTAGAGTTTGAGGAACATGGAATCGTCCTAGCAACATGTTTCATTACGAGTGCAAAAGGAACATAAAGCTGCATGTACACTCTTGCCCCGTTCAGCACCGTCCCGTCGCAGTCCATGGCACCGGTGGTGGTCCCGGGGGGTGTTCGATACCTGATCCATTCGCGGGAGTGCGACGATGACGTTAGCCATATACTCATAGGCATGTCTGAGGGGGATGCCGACCAGGGCGCTCGTCTGACCGGCACGCCCGAAGCGGAGAGGATGGTGGTCAGCGCGTCCAGCGAGGCCCAGCCGCCGACGACCAGGACTGCGCCGCCCGCCAGTCCCGGCCAGTGTTCCTCCAGCACAAGCGGCGATGCGACGGAGCTGGCCGTGCAAGAGGATGCCACCAGTGGCAGCTCCGTCGTCAGGGGCCTGTTGAGCTGTTCCAGCTGTAACGTGCTCCTGCGACACGGGGAGTGCACGCCGAAGCTGCTCACCGGGTGTCTGCACACCGTGTGTGCCCCGTGTGCGCAGCAGTGCAGTTCTGGTGAGTGGGAACATCACGGACCCAGTTGTCGCCGGAACTGCATGAAAACATTCCTGGACCGGCCCGTGTCACACTGTCTCTTGGCATTGCCTGGATAACTTTTTTAACATTCTTAGAGATCCATGTCGTGCTGAAGTTGTTTGATCTGACTTGTCTTCTTTGAATCATTGGTAGTAATTGTCGCCAATTGTTCATTGTCGCCATCACCCAGGAATGTTTTCGTATTGCTGCCTCCGTAATGTAGCTTATGCTATCGCTAATGCTACCAGGCCGCAGTAGTAGTGCGTGCTTGCATATTGTTTTACGCTACCATGCTGTTGCGATATAGATGTTTTAGTTCCATATCGGCTGATGGAAAAGCGGAGCTCCAAAGGTGTCTGGAAAACGGCGTTTAGATGGTGCAGCTCCATGCCGCATACTTTACCACACGCTAAATGCTGCATGTAAAAAGTAATGCTTATGACCTTGGATGAACGAACGTTTCCATGAGAATAAATTCAGAGCAGGGGTGACGTAGCGGAGTTGGGAGAGGCATAGAGAGCAAGAGCATGTTTTTGCTTCCCAAATTTTTGGGAGGTCCCTTTCTATCGAACTTAAGGCATTATAACTATTCGTAGATAACGAAAATTAGAGCAAAGCTCTCACAGCTAAGCTAGAGAGGATCAAATGGGCTCAGAAGACCATTTTCCTCTTAAAGTGGACAGTTTTCTGGATTATGCGGCCATCCTTATGAAAAAGGTACAGTGGCCCACGCTTTAGATCAGAAGACCCAATGTTGTGTTCAGAAGGCCCCTTGTTGTCTCGGGAGGCCCCTGTTATAAACTATGAGGCCTTATTCTGGGGTTATCTTTCTTCAGGAGGTCCCATTTATGGAACAGGAGGTCCCTTTCATGTATCAGATGGTCACGGCTCCGAATCAGGACCCCTATTTTGCGGTAACGAGGCTTCTTGGCTAGATTTTGAGGCCCCCTTCACGAATCAAAACATCCTGTTCTGGATTAGGAGGCCGCTCTATGCATCAGGAGGCCGTGTTTTAGGCCACGGAGACCCCTGACTGGATAAAAAGAAGCCTCCCCAATTCCGTCTTTTTAATGTCGACGTTTATTTTCTTGGGTATGATGCATGCAACAGTTCGATGAAAGAGCTCATACCCTCGACATCTCTCTCCCTCGAATACGACACTGCCCAGAGGCCCCTTGTGAGGAGGCCATTTTCGTCCATCAGAGACCTTTGAAAATGCTGCCTTCCCAGCTCAAAATCCGTGGCGCCGCCCCTGGTTCAAAGAGACTCAGCCATTCGTGCTGGCAGTTTCAAGCTTGCTGCGTTTTTTCCTGTTTCACCTACCTTTATAAAGGGTGACACTGATCTGTCTCTTCCCTTCAACTCTTCATCTGCTGGAGCGTTCTGGATAAACATCACTGGGGTCGTGCACGTCCTTCGTACCGTCACAAATGCTGTCGAGTGGTATTGAATACTTTTCATGTGATAGTGTTATTGATAACCGGTGACGTGAGTGTTATTGATAACCGGTGACGTGAGTGTTATTGATAACCGGTGACGTGAGTGTTATTGATAACCGGTGACGTGAGTGTTATTGATAACCGGTGACGTGAGTGTTTTTGATAACCGGTGACGTGAGTGTTATTGATAACCGGTGACGTGAGTGTTATTGATAACCGGTGACGTGAGTGTTATTGATAGCCGGTGACGTGAGTATTATTGATAACCGGTGACGTGAGTGTTAGTTGATAACCGGTGACTTGAGTGTTATTGATAACCGGTGACGTGAGTGTTATTGATAACCGGTGACGTGAGTGTTATTGATAACCGGTGACGTGAGTGTTATTGATAACCGGTGACTTGAGTGTTATTGATAACCGGTGACGTGAGTGTTATTGATAACCGGTGACGTGAGTGTTATTGATAACCGGTGACGTGAGTGTTATTGATAACCGGTGACGTGAGTGTTTATTGATAACCGGTGACGTGAGTGTTATTGATTACCAGGTGACGTGAGCGGAGTAAGCACCTTAAGCGATGGCTTTAGCCATGGTTGGTGGCCCAGGTCACATGCTGAGGACTATGCCCGTGATTGTATTGGGTGCAGTAAACCTTGGTTATGTGTGTCTTGACTTAAGCAAGAAAGGAATTGAGCTTTTGGTTGTTGCGGCGCAATGCTTTGTGTTTTATCAATTTATCATGACTTGAGAGTTTTATCAACATTACTAATGCTTTCGTGAAAACGCCACTTGACTAATATCTCGTGATATTAATCATTGATGATTGTGAGTCAGGAACTCCCAACTCCTTGTGTGTATTGTTAGGAAGCTGCTGGTATATTCCGTTTCGGTGGTATGCTTTTTACGTAAGGCCATTGCGCACTGAACAAGTAGAGATGCAGACCTTGGAACGCACAACGCAGTTTTGCGTTGGCTGTACATCAACTGAAATGTAAAAACTCAATTTTTTACTAACTGCAAAAGCGTTCACGTCTTTTACCGTAGTTACAATAGTGGTAACATACCTGGTATATAACTAAGGTGATGCGCATATATAGGGATGATAAGGGTATTGGCATCATGTACAAATACCAAAGCAAGCGTATGGTGCCAAACGCCTCTAAGACCGACAGTAAATGGTTCTTTGGTGCATTGACATGTCCGTCGTAAATGCAAATTCAGTCTGCAAAGAGTCCTACCGTTAAATTATCCACGCGCCAAGTCACAAATCGGTTTGCTTCAACATGGGGGGGGGGGGGGGTTTGATGGACCTCCCATTGTTGGGATTTCTATGCCACTCATGACATTAATGGTAAGCTCTTCACGTTTCTTGGTGATTGTCCTTAACAGGGGTTATTAAAATGAGTTCAAACAGTGGAAAATTACGTGAGCTACCCCTAAAGTTACGCTATCAAACAAGTTTTTCCTCGGGTTTTGCCCACTTCCTTTTCGAAGTTGTGGGGACTGGAGCCCCCAAACTTTTTCAAGTTGGAACTGAAGCCCGCCCCCCCCCCCCTCAAATGAATACAGATCCCACACCTGGATACAGTGAACGAGGTGACGCACCTTCGCAATGCATGCCTTATACAGCGGATCCAAATGTTCTACCGCACGTTTACGCTCATGTTAATAGCGCATTAGGACATATAGCCCAAGGGGCAAGCAACGCCCCGGTTCCGACAAAATTATTTAAACACAATTTTTGCCGGCCCCGTTTAGTAGTATTCAGGGTTGTAGTTTTGAAAAATGTGCTTGGAGGACTGAACAGTGAAACATGATTGAGCTTGCCTTTCAGGCACGCCAACAAACGTGTTTCTTTCCTAATTTGACCAGCTTTGTTTAAGTTGGGGTTGGGGGCAGAGGGTGGTGCCCCACTTTTTAGAAATAATTCGTATTTACGCTATGGTGATCCGGGAAAGAATCTTTTTCAAAATTGATGCCCCTCCCCTCACCTTAAGAGACGCGCCTTCGCCTGTGCATCTGAAGACCTGATTCATTCCGAAGTGTGGTCTACGAATCCACTTGGAATCAAGTGGGAATCTGTTCGATAGTGCATATGTCATGTGTTGTGCGGCTAATCGTGTGATGTTGCCGTGGTTGATTTAGTCTTAATCCCACACCAGTTTGGCGATGACCTAAATGTTACTACGTTTCTTCGTCTGTATAGCGTGCCTTTCCTATGTCGAAGCTCTGTTTTTTATTTAAAAAATTCTGCGACGCTGATTTCATTTCGTGTGCTGTGTTTAGGCTCTGGACCTGTCTGAAATCGCGATGTGCTAGCTTGAAGTCTCCAGTCGGCTGGAGCAGGAGGCACGGCAAACGCTTAGAATTAACGATGAATTGCAGCACAGACGCATTGCGGTCGTTCACGGTCGTGTGAATACGTACGGAATACCAGTCACCGAACGGGTGATGTTTCCCCATTCACGAAACATTCTTGAAAGGTGTCTAAACATTTGCTGTTGCCTCCGGGACTACGCATATGCCATTATGGCTCCACATGTGGTAGCACGCTCGACTCAGTTGGTGTGAAAGAGGCTCATCTGAACTACCTGCAGCAAGGTGTATGAGATATCTTACTGTGGGCCAGCGCCTGCCCGATGGACCCTGCCTGGTGGTGCAAGCGATCACAAAGCTGTCAACAATCAGGGTGTTAATGGCGAGCTGCGGGAGGATCTCCTGGTCAGCAGCTGTGTGGTGCGCCTGGAATGTGTCGTGCTTGCGTTGGCACGACGTCACGTCCGCAGAATGATACGTTAGGGGCCTGGGCATTGAGGCTGTGCTGCTGTAAGGTGTCTTCTAGCGATGTTTGTTGCAAGCACGCAAACGTGCGTACCGATCGTGCAATGAACGTTGCAAACTCCCCGCTGTGGTGTGTGAAGTTGTCGGCAGCATTCCAGTGTACCCTTCTCCCGTTCTGGTAGTTGTGATCAGATCTGCAGTGATTCCTGTCTGCTGGAGAACATTGGAGAAATTATCCCGAAGTATTGAAAGTTTCATATTCAGCGCAGGTGTCGTATTTTGATGGGACGAGTACGCTTGGATATATAGCATCATCTTGCAATAGCTTCACACGCCTTTATCTCTAAAGACCCGAAGGAGATTGCAGAACGCCGAGTGAAAATAACGGCATCACTTCTCTCTCCACATGCCAGTGATCATCAGTGACGGCTTGCTTCAATGTGTCAGTTTAATAGCTACGCAGTTGTTATATGTTCCAGCACTTTCAATAGCAACTGATGTAAAGGATACCAACATTGCTACATTCACTTACAATATGCTTTCTTGATGCCGGTTGGAAATGACACCCTGAAGATTAGAATGAAGGGTTAGAAGCCCTTAATCATAAGAGAAACCTTGAAGTTAAATTTTTCACAATTTTGCTTTGTAAAAACGCGATGGTAGTGGCGTGCCAGCAGAAAATTGGGCACCTACGGGAGACGTTGGACACGCCGATCATTGGAGGGGCCCATCATTAAAGGGGAAACTTTAGCGGGAAATATGAGCTGGGTAAATTTTAGGGTGCACAGTTCTCACGTAGCATCTTTTTGGTAAAATTTGAATTTTAGTCGGACGGTTTTTGGTTCAGATCGTGAAACTCGCCAGGTGGAGTGTGGTCCAATACAGCTTTGACAGACTGAAGGTTGAGTGTGAATTCGGCTGATAAACATGGGCAATACAAAATTCATATTGGTACTGCACAAAATGCCACATTTACCGCAGTTTTACCATGTGATGTTCACTGTATCTAAATTTGTGTTATTCGAGTCTTTCGGGGATATTCGACCGTGTTGTCCCCACCCCTGTTGTCAAGGCTGGTCCCTTTACAGCGGGATTCCAGTGCCAATTATGTATGACTTCGTCGCCGTCGCTGCTGGACCACCCGCTGGTGGAGGAGCTGCTTCAGCGGCAGCACGAGGAGCAGCGGAGCCGGCTTTGCGGCCAGTGCGCAGAGCGCGGCGGACAGGCAGCCGCTTCCGGCACGTGCACCGAATGCAGCACTGACCTCTGCAACGTCTGCATTCAGGTACCCCCCCCCCCCCTGCACTGCTCCGGGCCGGTTTTGAACGACTTTGGTGTGGCCACAGATGGCTGGCATGTGAATGGATCTCGCGCAGTTTTGGGTGTTTTGATGGGGTTTGCCTGTGTGTGACGCCTGCGTGTGTTGGTAGGTGGTGCCCACTCGCTACTGTGGCTGCTGAAATGACGTGTGCAGCTTTCACGGAAGCGCGTGTTTGAGCGATCGCGTTTTTATGCGCTTGGACTTCGTTTTAAGGTGTTCGCTTTCTAAGCATGCATTGGGGCTGGATTTACAGGCTCACAGAGTTACCAAGCCAACGTGGGGACACAACATCGATGTGTGCCAGGATAGCTGTGCGCAACAGCAGTGTTCAAGTCACTACAAGGTGAGCATTCGAGCGGCACTCTCAACCTCCAAACCAGTTCCATTGTCGTCTCTTCGTTACAATTTCCATTACAGTTCCATTGTCGTCTCTTCGGCACAATGGTATAACTCGTGTTCTGGGACTCTAGTAGAATCAGATCGCTGTCACAAGCTCGCCATCTTCCTCGCGGATGGCGAGCGATGGCATTAAACAAACTATAGGATGGCTTCAACATACAGATGGTTGTGTGGCATGTGTGGTATTAGCACGGTCTTGTGTAGGTGGTGTACGCATCTGTAAACATGCATAGCTTTTATTTCTACTTCGGCCTCGGCACAGCCTATTCGATCGTGTAAGTCTCAAGACCACATGAGAAGGGCAGAATGTTTTAGAAATCCAGTCCAGAAATATACTTTTTGCACAAGCGACGCCCTTAAAAGTCAGGGGGTACATACATAAATGAGGTTAGCCTCAGAATGTTTGTACCCTAGGATTTTTGTGCATTAAGGGACACGGATCCAAAATTCCTGGTCTCAATGTGGTGTCAGTCACAAAACCATATAAGGTATAAGCATATATGGTACATTTTTATTGGATGTTGCACACCACATTAATCAGATTTTTAACGCCCATAAAGCTCCGCCGCTCAGAAGCGGGACAGCTGAGCCTGAAAGAGCGCTCAATCGGCAGGTGACAAGCAGGGATGATTTTAAGTCGGAAATCTACGAGGACATTATTGGCCATTAGGTGCACCCTACTTAGCTCCCCAGTGCTCACACGCCTGCAGTTTTGTTTCTGCCAAATTTTCGGATTATGGCATCGCTACTATGTGTGCTGAATGCTTTGCGATGAACACAAGCGGCTGCATTACGACCTAGCGAAGCGACGGCTTCCAGTGGTTTTTGTGTTTTTTTTGTTTTTTTGTTTTTTTGGGTCGGGAGCATTAGGAACGAATGTATTGGTTTGGCTAGTAATTTCACAGCCTTGCCCTGTTTTTCGTGCAGGTCTGGATGCCTTTGTAACGATACATTGTAATACACCAGAATCGTATAAAATCGGCCATCGGATGCCATAAGGGACAGTAAATGATATATTTTCAATAATGTTTCTCAACTCTCGGCATTCCTACTGATACAATTTGGTGTCGGCTTATCTACACTTAAAGGGGAAGTGATCACATGCGGCGCGTCCTGCTGACTTGGACATCGCATAGATCGGAGAGCAGAGTGTGGCTTGACGGGTGAGGAAGCGGCCAGACCAGTCTTCTTTGAAAACGTCATGCTTCTTTGTGGTCCGTATGATAGTTGCTAGTTCTGATGGGTTTTCCAGATGAGGCTTTCTGGGCGGCAACACGTATCATGGCCAATCTTAATCCGACACTAATAACGGCATTTTTCATTAACCATATCCTCGATCGTCGCCCGCGGTTTTTGCCAGCATGGTGCTGAGAGTTTATATTGAAACCAAGAAGATATATATTGAACCAAAGGAATGATTACATTTGCACGTTTCATCACGCTTGACCCATGGGTTCCAAATGGACGCAACGTCAGCTCGGTTTCGACCACGGCCTTGTTGTTTTGTGACTGCAAAGCGCGTAGGTTGGCAGCTGTGATCCAGCCCCCGCCGCCGGAGCGGGCTAACGCAAACGCTGACGTGACCTTGCCTGCACGTTTCAGACTTTTGACAACTACTGTGACACGTGCAACACGTTGGGGTGCGGGGAGTGCATCCTCTCGGCGCATCGCTCCCACCAGTCGTGCACGCTGCTTGCCAAAGATGCAGAGGTGAAGGAGACGCTGAAGACCCGCCTGGCTGGCATGAGGTGAGCGCTCTTCACCGCTGGGACGGGGTGCGTCTTCTGTAGGGTAGGTTCGAGTCTTCACGCTTGTAGGTGACCCCAGCTAGAGACCGATGGTAATGTGTGGGAGGCAAGAAAGCCCCATGCTAAAATCATCCATGATGACGTCGGCGGTGCAGGAAACCACAAGGCAAGTGAAGGAAAGGGGCCGTTTACACGTGGGCAGGCTGCACTAAGAGATGAAGTCTTGAGTGGCGTGTTGTTGTTTAAACTTACGGAATTTTTCTATGAAGCTGAGCGATGGCCTGGCAAAGGCAGGTGTGAAAAGCAAAGGATAGCATGTCTTTGTCTCAAAAATCAACACAACGGAAATTGTACTAGAGTTAAAAGATCTGGATGGCCGTGAAAATTTTTGTCTGGCGAAGTCCAACTTTGTGTCCTATTAGATTAAAGGTAGCATCAAAATGCAAGGAACGAGTGGCGAGGCCTTGAACTACCACGCCAAGAATAGCATCATCCTCGCTAGAGAATCCGGGAGAAAAGATAAGTCGGCATCCACTCGTGGTTTGCACCTGACATGACCATCAAGCCCGTGGATGATGCAACCACAATGTGATATGCCGGGACCGGAGAAGATGCAGACCAGGCGAGCAAATCCCTATGAACTTCTCTGAGACACTGGACATCAGCCGGTCCGATTATGTACAGGAAAAGGCCGCAAACCTTGAAGAGTTAATGTGTAAAAATAGCTTGCGAGCTGGTCATGAGCCAAGACGATTCAAAGTGAATGCGGGCATCTGACGTTCTTGTTACCCTTGAGACATTTTTTTTAGTGTGGTTCAAACCCTCTCCCTAACACCATCGCGGTGTCGAAGCGGCGATCACGCAGTCATCATGACCTCCTTACCCTGCAGCACACCTGCTCCCCGGGCCTGGCGTCCGGAGCGTACTACGGTGTTGGCTTAATGCACTGGGCACGTGTCTGGACGCTGTAGGGAGGGATGAATCGACGCGGGCTAGCAAGCGGACCCATTAAGCTGAGTTAGTGCCGTGTGGCACCGGGCCGCACTGTTACCCTAAAGCATCGCACTGAACACATCTCGATGTGCTTAATCCCGAGGTGTAAGCTTTAAGCTGTGTGCGTAGGAGGCACAGAGAAAGAAAGCGAAGAAGGTGCATTAGGTTATGTAAGAGATGATTACGTTTAGACCGTACTTGAAGCTTATGCATGCCGGTCTAGCCGCGTCCATCTGTAGCTGAAAATCGGACCGTACCGTGCGCTTCGTCTCGCCACGTTGGGACACCAGCCATCCTCATTCCCCTCCCTCCCTCACGTCCTGCCGTCCGTCCGTCCGTCCGTCCGTCCGTCCGTCCGTCCTGGTGCATTACACCCGTGCGTCAGGTGTCGCCGTCGGGCAGGTCCTGAACCGCCCGCCAAACACCCTTTTATGCCCTCCCTCCCTCTCCCCCCCCCCCCCCCCAACGCGGCGAGGGCGCGAGCGGGCCCGACAAGCGGGGCAACACGTGGCAGAAAGACGGGCAAAACAGTTGAAGCTGGCGCCAACACAAGGCAAGACCAAGATAAGCTAAGCCGATCAGACGGAGGCTATCTAACGGAAGGTCGGTGAACTGCCGGTCCCGCGGGCGGCTCGGACTCTGAGCTCAAGGCCATTTATCACGCAGCAAAGGGGAATGCCGCGGGGTCAACTGCATACGCATCATTGCCACAGGGTATGGTGAGACACACGTCCCAAGCCCTCTCGGCCCTGGCACGCGTCCGGAGCCCTCTGACCCTGGGTTGGGCCAACATGGCCCGCTCCATTGCAGGTTAGCATGTTGCGTATCAAAGCAAGAAAACTCTACCGGAAGCCAGCAGGATGGCCAACATGAAGGGTCGCGAGACAAAACCGGCTGAAGATGCGGCAGAGGGCTTTTGGCTCGCTTCTCTCTCTCCTATCTCCCACCTCCTGTCCTGCTATTCCTCCCCCCCCCCCCCCCCCCCAGCTCTCCTCCCCTTTTCTCTCTCTCTCCTCTCTCTCTCTCTCTCTCTGACTCTCTCTCTCTCTCTCTCCCTCTCTCCCTCCTCTCCCCATCTCTCCCTCTTCTCCCTCTCCTCCTCTCTCTCTCCTCTATCTCTCTCTCTCTTCCACCCCCCCCCCAGCTCACTCCCGCTCACTCCCTCGGGCTCCAAGGTTTCTCGCCCCTAGCAACAAGAAGGAATTCGCTGTTGCGACGGTGCAGGCGGCAGGCCGACCTTCGGGCCGCCGCCACGCTGCGCCGCCCGACAGCACACCGCGACGCCATCCTGCGGGGCAGTCATCCGCGCCAAGGCGTCATGGACCATCTTTTGATTTAGCAGGACCCCACACCACCCACGTTGTTGCATACATTAGTTTCATCTGTTACTGGTGACAAGGCCTCGAAAATAATGCAAGTACGCGCGTCCCTGACAGCATGCGTCCGTCCGCAGCTGGGCATGGCCTTCTGAAAGCAAACTTCCCGTGAGCAAAACAAAAACATGAAAATGTGGTATTGGGGCAGACATAGTGTTAACAGAAACGGAAGGCTGGGAAAACGGGTGCCCGGATTTTTCATTCAGTTACAATTTTGATTGTTGCTCTGCAGTCCTGTCCTGCAGTCCTGCAACCAGCTTCTCCTGTCATCCAGCTTACTTGTCCTCTCCAATCAACGAACTTAATGGTTCGTCTCTGTAATGTCCTTTTGACGCAACTTGGAACTCGCTTTTGACACCACCCGGGGATATGATAAGTCGAGGCGGAAATAGACCGTCGTTAAGGGCAATAACACCATCTACGCCATGACCAAGTTGGCTGTAAAGCCGTGCTATGGGTACTGTTAGCGAGCAAACGGGCTGTCGTTGCCGGCGCGGCGGCGGCGTCTCCACGATGGTGTGACCCTCTGCCGATTGGTCCCCACATCTGGAGCTCATATGTGGGCCACGTGGGTTTATGGGGACACGCAGGCGGGGACGCACGGTCCCCGCCGAGCAGCCCACGTTCAGACTCCGACGGTGCGGCTCGACGCGTTTACGACGACGACGACGACCTCGGAGTGTGCAACGCCACCCTTCCAACCCCTCTCTTACATTTGCCTTGCAACTCTTTGGCTAATAGAGACTCTTCCCTTTCAACGTCTCAAGTCGATGGTCCTCCGGAATACTAGCGAACTCTTTCGCACGAACAGGTACTGACCGTGCACTTTACTATCGCTTACGACGTTTAGGTCACGTTCAGTGGAACAAACTGAACAATTGTAAAACTGTGGGCGTATCTACCATCGATCTTTAAGCTGTGCCGCAGTAATGTTATTAAGGATATCATCCTTGCCTGAGAAAGGAGTGCGCTGCACGCGAATGCACCAGCGCTTGTACAGATATGGTTTGGCATCTGGGGGAGCACGCCTGTCTCCAGACCTCGCTGTAAACAACGAGCCTCTTGTTCTACGAAAACGGCTCATCTGGACCGCGGGCCGCGCCAGGCTGCAGCGTATTTATGCACTAAAGCCTGCCGTGGTGTCCGACATAATCTGCTCCCAGTACCGTTGGCTCTGTCAGCATTCCGGTTTGGGGTGGATTAGGGGACGACTGTTTGCCTCCGCTGTCAGTCATTTGCGCCCCGCCGGCGTTCTCACAAATGTGGGGAACCGAATTTGGTGCATATTTGATATGTTTCGACTCCGCACAAATTGCAAACTGTTCCGCAATTCACCAATGAGTCTTCATAATGCGACGTAAGTTGTGCGGCCTGGGATGTTTAACAGTGTCTGCCACCTTTTTATAGTTTTCAGATATAGTTAGATGAGGCGCATACGATTTGATCAGTAATGCCAGGTTTCTCGAAATCCTTCTGAATAGCTCAGAATTTTGATTTGAAGTAGGCGACCCTGCAGGACACGTGTCATCACTCTATGCTTGCTGCTACGAAAGTAATACATTTCGATTGCGTTGCTCTTTCCAGTGTGCTTGCTCTGTAATGTTTGCAACACGAACGGAACCGTGCCATTTAGTATTTCCACTAGCGAAAGTGCGACGGTGGTCGCGACAACAGGGGAGAAGCGTGGTGCTGGTACAAAGCGTTGATGGTAATTTGGCTGGAACATAATTAAGATTGATGCCCCTATGTCTTCACGGTGCTGCAGTGGCACTACCCAGTGTTATTATAAGACGTAACTGATCATGAGGTTTCACTAGTGAACATTGCCGAAAGATGGACACTTTCTTTAACTTTTCATGCCATATATTTAATTAATGCTGGTATGGGTAAGGCCCCACCTCCCGTTCCTAGATGCTTGATTGCGTTAATTGGGGTGTCTCAAAGCACAGTATAATTTGCTCTGAACCTGATGTCCTTATTTTATGATATTTGTAGGAAGTGCATAGCATTTGTGACATTTGTTCAATAAGCGTTTAATTCAGACAGTATCGGTTTTTGCCCATTGGGCCATGTTCATCACAATGATTGTTTTTTATGTGGCTTGGCCACATGAGCAAACCTAGCATGTGGCTTGGCCACTGGAATGAGGAGGATTGACGGTAATAAGTGGATATGTGCCTGGCTTCGTCACTCGATGTCCACATCTTTCCGTGTGCTGTGTGTTGTTTATGTTGAGAAATGAACTGTATCAAGTTTTGAAAAATGTTGTATTTGTCGTTGTGAATCATTAGTTATAGATGGATCATTTTTATCAATCATGCTTCATATGATGTATACAAATATATGAATTATGATTATGAATTATATTTCATATCATGAATCATTAGCATTGCAGTGACATGGGCACTGCCAATGGTAATGATTCCGCTCCAGCTCGAAGGTAGAACGAAAATGGACAGTATCTACAGCAACATTAGATAGAAATGTTAGATACCTTCTTGGTGTTGGATATATCTTGTGTAAGTTGACTGTCTTGTGGAATGCTGCGATTAACTACATGTTGAAAATACCCAGCATTGTTGTACTCAATGCACGACCATTAGCCGGAGTGAATTTGAGAAGTGCTGTTGGTAGCCAAGTATTTCCTGACTGGAGGAACAGTAGTGGATAATTTCCGGTAAATTTGTTGAGTTCCAACGCCCTTCGCCTGCTCTTGCTTCTTACTTCTAATGTGAAACCGACATCGTGATGTCCGAAATGAAACAAGGTTCCACATAAGTCTGGTAGTTAAGATTTTGTGCTGTAGTCTGGCCCCTTCAACTTCACATGAGTCGCCTTATTATGCGCAATGGATTTCGCTGATTGCGTATTTAATTAGAATGTCAGGCATTGGCCTTCGTATGTCGAGTCGACGCAGTTGTCTAACTTGACACACAATCCTAAATATGGCTTGTATTTTTGTCGAATGCCCCGAGTAAGCCAATTCTCATGACCCAGCTTGGGGCAGCTTTCTAGTAACACGGCGTGCTGTTGCGGTCAACATCTCCAGCTGGCCGGGCCGAGGTCTGCTACGGGTCGGCAATAAGGAAAAGGCTATCTGTCGTCCCAACGATACGCGCGCCGCCCACGGGGCAGTGGCCATGCCACCTCCCATCGGAATGAAGCACAAGTTCAGCATGTCGCTGGGAAACGGCTGCTCTAGCGGACAATTTCAACGCAGCAGTGTTTGGCTAGGTGCTATCTGTGCCGCCTCGGGTGAACAGTAAAGTGGGCCGGCTCGGCGGGTCATTTGCCAGTCTCCGGCCGGTCTGGGTCTGCTTGCCCCACTCGGCGCCCTGGACGTCATCCCGGGCGGCTGGCGGCCGCCGCGCGCGCGGCGCCCCTGCCGCCTGAGCGAGAGGGCGCGGGAACCGCGCCCTGGCGCGGTGTCAACTGCGCTGCGTTGGTGGCATAAAATCCGTCTGATCCGGAAGTCACCCGACACGGCGAGATCATCCCGGCCGCCCAGCGCTGTGGAACACGGGCTGGTCATGTGTATAGGAACTTGAGGCTGATAGGCCGGTGCTCCCATGTTTCGCAAACTGAACGTTGACCGGGTCCCTCGGATGTATACCACCAACACCGGATGGGCTGATTTGATACCGCCTGCTTATCTCAAGAACGGTGGCGCCAAATTCAAATTCAAATGGCTAGCGGATGGAACCTTGACGTGTGACCTCGGATCGAGTTGCAAAAGCGCCTTTCGCCGCCCGGTCACGTCACTGTGGCAGCCCGGAGCTCCGCCGTCCGCTGCCGGGGGTCCGGGCACACATCGGCACTGCCAACATACGCTGCTATGCATTGTAGGTCATAGCTCAGTCATTGTTACAAAAACCGCGTGGAACGCGGTACAGACATTGTCTATAGCCTGGTCTAGGACGTGTTGTATTATGTCTCATTATTTTGAGGCGGCCAAACATGTTTAGCGTACTGTTTATCAATAGCTGTGTTATTTGATACGCCTTAATATTGGAAAAACACAACAAGGCATATGAATGATGACCTGATATTGGCACTCACTTCCCGTTTACAAATATGGAATATATTCACTAGGTCCGTTTTCATGTCAGTCAGCTTCACGCTTTTGTCAAAAATCGGCGAACATGACATCACTCTGACTTGATGAAACCTTAATTCATAGCCGTTATTTTAGCAGTTTTTGAGTTATCCATTCAATCGACAAGGCGACAGATTTGACCCCTCCCGGCGTGGTGAAACGACGATGTAGTAGTGCGTGGAAATAAAACCACGAACTATCAGCAAATTTGCGGAATATCGGACGTTTTGAATTTGCGAATACTTCATCACTATCGTTTGGGCCCACCCACCGCTCAATGAACCCAACATGTATCAGCTAAAAGCTGAAACGCGAGGCCGCTTGTGGCGAACGCATATTTGAGCGCGCCATAATTGTATATTTGTTGTAACATTTGTACTTTTTAAAGCATTGCTTAAGCTCTCGGTGTAAGTTACTGGCAAAGGGAGCGAATGGGCTGGAACCAGTATATCAAAGGTACCAGTATACGCGTATAGAAGCTATGCGCCGGCGGAACAACACGGAGAAACGGTCGCCGGGGGACCTTCCGTGGGAATCTGAAGTTATTTTGTCCTGCCATATAGAGGTGTCACTTTCTAAAACCGGTTCTCGGGCTGAGCCGATAGATTTGAACCAGCATACCCTACACTCTGATTTCTCTTCAGATTTCTGTCACTTCAATTTGCGTCTCTCATGTCGTTTTTTCATGAGAAAAGGTGGTCGAGTTCACAGTCGTTTTCGTTCTGAGGATTGAATCTTCATTTGAAACCGATGCCAAGCTGCATTGGTATGGAACGCTTAGAATGAGTTGTGGTTCATAAAGTCCTTATTGGATTGATCGAATGTTGTCAACGGATAAGTGTCCTTTTTCGTTCCATCAAAGATAATCCAAGGCCCAAAAAGACGGTATTATGCGGATGGTGTCGTCTGACACATACAGAAAGTAACGCCATTGCCACCAAACCCTCATTTTAGGTAACGTTTGCCGTCTTCAGCTTGTTTTGGCGGGTCGGTGAGGCTCAGGAGTCAGGACAGAACTGTGTCTGAGGCGGGCAACGGGCCGAGCTAGAGGCGGGCGCGCGCGCAAACTGCCTGTCCGAGGAGTCCGGACGGCCGCCACGCGCCCTCCGCTGCTGCTGCCAGGCGGCTGCTGGGACGGACTGGCGGTGGGCCGACGTCAACGGCAGCTCCGGCAAAGAAAGTCATATTCATGCCACGTCAATTCAAAATTCTGTATTGTTGTTTTCGGTATTGAATCGCAATGCAACGTTGCCAGCTCACTTTGCCGTCATTTCTCGTCATGGCTGGAGGGGTTCTCTTATCCTCAAAGGTTGGCCAAACTGATGAGGGAGCTTGATGCGTGCGACAAACCTTCCCGGAAATGACACACGACACAACCATATTTACCGTACATCAGCGCAATCAACGGCCGCGCAAAGCCATAAAATAGACGATTAGCGTTCTTGAGAACTAGACGGTAGATGGTGCAGCGCTGCCACGAACGGTGCTGCCGAGTTCAGCTCTCAATCACGTGTAGCGAAGTGACGTCTGCTTTGGGGGCTTACGGCTCTTCTGGGTGCATTTCATTGACAATCAGCTGGATCGCGTGTATCGGTGGCCGAGACAGCAGCGGTGTCGGCCCACAGCTCTGGACCATGGCTGTCAGCTAAAAGCGTTGTCAGCTGCCCGTCGGCGGCAGCCGGCGCTTGGTCGTAGCCTTGCGTAGTCGTCTGGTATGGGTGGGACGTAAACTTCCGCCTTGGAGTGGATGCTAAAACGATGGCGATTGCTGTCTCAAAAGTATCGTCTCACTGCCCTCGTCAGGCGCATTTTCAGTACGCATTCTATGTCACCCCCAATTCTGGGTGAGTCGTCACGAACTGTGGGGACTCAGTCGGGCTCGTGGAAAGTTGGAGTCGAAATGAGTGGATATCGATGGGCAGTATTCAGTCAGGCTCACGCAAAGGTAGCGGGTTATGTTTTGTTTGTTTTTTAATCGTGCTGCCAGCCGTTACCCAGGCTTTGAGTAAATATACGGCAATGCTTTATGATGTAGTATGGATGTGTATTGACCTTTTTTATCATTCCTCTACGGAACATTAATGTGTTGTTGTTACTTTCATTATTTTTCAGAAACCCCGATAAGTTATTCCGCCACCTTTTTACTACGTTTCTTTTGCAATTGCAAATCCTTCTGATGAGACTCGAGGGCGGAATGTTTTTATCTGCATATTCGCATGATAGTGACCAGAGTAAATGTGCGTTGATTCCCATTATGGCACGTCTGGTTTGAACTTCTCATCACATCACACGTGCTTATTTGTGGTAGCACCTCGGTCCCTATTCCCTCACACCATTTTCGAGGGAATGTATACGCTTTTTTTGCAGAGCAGGTGTCCGGGGCGGCGGAAAACCACCGTCTCACTGTCGTTTCCGTCATCCCAGGGAGCTTCGAAGTACCCTTGAAAAGCGAAGGGCGAGCCTGCAGGAGAGAGTGGCGGAGGCAGAGACGGAGATGTTGGCGGCGCTGGATCGTATCACAGCCCTGTGCAAGCAGTGAGTCGAGCGATGCCATACCTGGTGTTCATCGATGCAGGGTGTATCAGCAGAGTGCGGCTGACTGCTGCATAGTGGCTAGAAGCTGTCGACAGTATTGAGAGACCTCAAAAGGCAACTGGTACCGCTATTTGAACCGTGGTCTTCGCTGAGCACTCTCTGGTCGGCCGTATGGGTTCATCGATAGCAAACACCAGGGACAAGTTCATGACGTTGTGAAGTTCGGAACGGCTTGCATGAGTGGGCAATGCAATCACATGCGCTTCTATTACCGTTCGACAAGATTCACGAGTTGTCAATATCTGCCTACCGTCACAACTTTCAGTCTTCAAGCAGGCGGGTTACATTTGGTCATACACAGTGCAGTATCGCATGTTTGGTTGATGCGGTTGACTGTCATTACGCTGTTAAATGTTATTCACCATCCGCCATTTTGTCCTGCTGACCGCAACGTAAAGGTCACCTGACCTATCCCTCTCCCCGCCCCAGGCAGCAGGAGATCTTAAAGGGCTACTTCTCGAGACAGTTGGAGGTAGCTCAGTTGAAGTATAACGTGTACAAGCGCGAGCTGCTGGGTCACCTGAACAACGTGACACTCATGGAGATGAGGCTGGCGCACCTCGACAGCTTCGCCCAGCAGCTGATGGAGAACGGTCGGCCGCTGACGCTAATCAACAACTCAAGGTAAGCCGGCCGCACGCGCCGCCCGCCGGTCGTCGGAGCCAGCTGACTGTCGGAGCCGACACGGCGTCGAACGCCAGCTGACTGTCGGAGCCGACACAGCGTCGAACGGCAGCTGACCGACGGAGCCGACGCGGCGTCGGACGCCAGCTGACCGTCGGAGCCGGCACGGCGTCGAACGCCAGCTGGCCGTCGGGGCCGACACGGCGTCGAAAGCCAGCTGACCGTCAGAACCGACACGGCGTCGGACGCCAGCTGACCGTCGGAGCCGACACGGCGTCGGGCGCCAGCCGACTGTCGGAGCCGACAGGGCGTCGGACGCCAGCTGACCGTCGGAGCTAACAGGGCGTCGGGCGCCAGCCGACTGTCGGAGCCGACAGGGCGTCGGACGCCAGCTGACCGTCGGAGCCCACACGGCGTCGGACGCCAGCCTTTCGATGGCCTGCGTGGCTCGATATCCCGCCAAGCAACCTCACGTTTCCTTGTCGTGCTTGGCCTGGTGTCGATGCCTTTGCGGACTTGCTGGAGGTTGGTTAGGCGAACTTGAAAGCTAGCGTGAGGGCATGCCTTTTGCCCTATATAAAGCGGCTTTATCTCTAAGCGAAGACAGAAAGTGTAGTAAACCACTGGGTCAAAAACAAGACTGAGACGAAGAGACAAAATCGCAGACCAACTTCCATGGCAAGAGAACGCTACATATATGATGTTTGTCGAAGCGAAATGGTCGCACGGTTCTTCTAATGACCTCCGTGACCCTGGATTACAGCGTTTCGTTTTTCCTTTCAGACATGTCATCGGGATAACTAAACGACTTAAAAGTGTGGATATGAACCCCAAGATGGAAAACAAACTTCCTAAGCTGCAAATGCGTCGGGTCGTGCCATTTGACAGTAAGTTACTGCGTCAGAATATTTTAAAATTTGAGGACCCCAGGCACTACACTTGGCTTCAACAGTACCATTACACATCACACACTCCTGCCATAGATGCCGTCGTTCTTTTCTTCTTTCTTTTTTCCTGGAGGCAGCTCCACTGCAGACAGTCATGAGTAATGTAGCATTGCTTTCTAATATCCTACATTGAAGGTTTTAATATCCTACATTTGAAGGAAGGTTGTCGCTCCTGTACTGCTGTTGTCGCAGAAAATGCCGTTCGCAAGACTTAAAGCATCCATTGATCTGGAATACTTAAATGGCGTTCGACCAAACAGTGGATGTGGCCAAGCCATTAGATCTATTTCATTGAATAAATTATTTCCCCGTATCCAGGATCCATGCTGAAATCTACGAAAGTATCGTATGGGATCCCAGACCTGAACGTTGGGTTCATAGATATTACAACAGTTAAATATATATATATATATATATATATATATATATATATATATATATATAGTGTGTGATACATACATAATATAGTACATACAGTATAATATGTCTAATAAGTATATATACAACAGCTGGTTGTTTCTCGCATCCCTCCATGGTACCCTTGCCGTTGCTTTAAACTACGGTGTATGCAATGCATTTTCGTCATGAAACGTACATGTGTATGCTCTTTTCGTTTGAAGCTTGGTTGAAAATTGTGTTATAGTGCTGACGTGGGAACGCAATGGGCTGGATGTTAACGCCCATATGTCATGCTATAATGACCATGAAATAACGTTTCCAGGGATTGGTGACATGATGTGCTCGTGCTCGTATGTGCTCTTCGACGGGGCGTTCTGCATCCAGCCGGTGGAGAAGTCCGCGTTTTGCAAGGCCCTCCTGGACGTCACGCACCACGTCCTGACGCAGGAACTCAACATGGGCTCCGACTTCGGCTTCAGCTTCCTCAGGCTGCTGTTCCAGACCATCTGCAATCTGGAACCAATTCGACCGGAGCTGTTGAAGATGATAAACGTCCTGCACACCAGGACGACTCTGCGCGCGCGGGGCGAGCCTGATGCGGGCCGGGGGCCGACGCCCAGCACGCCGGCTCTGCAGCACCAGCCGGGGGCCGCCGCTGCGCTCTCGGGGACCTCCCAGGAGGAGGAGCAGGAGGTGTCGCGGCTGGCCAGGTGGCTCGCCGCGTCCACCGCCGGCGACCAGCAGTCGCCACCAGCGCGCGACCTATGTCAGCAGCGGCTGCATCAGAGGCAGCAGCAGCAGCAGCAGCATCTGCAGCCGCCTCCCTCGTATCAGCCAGCACACTTTCAGCAGCGCCCGCGGTATCAACAGCCGCAGCAGCTTCCTTCGTTTCCGCGTCTGCCGCCGTCGTCATACCAGAACCTACAGCAGCAATTCATGCGGGATCAGAACCTACAGCAGCAATTCATGCGGGATCAGAACCTACAGCAGCAATTCATGCGGGATCAGAACCCACAGCAGCATTTCATGCGGGATCAGAACCTACAGCAGCAATTCATGCGCGATCAGAACCCACAGCAGCAATTCATGCAAGATCAGAGCCTACAGCACCAATTCATGACGTCAGAGGCCGTGATCAGAGAGCGGCCCGCCCAGACAATGTCTTGGGCGGGGAGGACGGCCACGGCGGCGCCGCACTCGTGGAACAGCACGCCGCGACCGCTAGCACAGCCGACTCCGGGGCGACAGACGCCGGCGTTGCCTGCTCAGGCTGCTCAGCTCCGGGCGTCGCCGTCGTCGGAGCGGTGGCAGCGGGCGCGAGGAGGCGCGGCCGAGGTGCAGCGCGTGGCGACCGAGCCGGAGCCCCCAGAGCCGACCATCACCTGGCACAGCCCTGCCACACCCCAGCCGTCCCGGCCGACCCGCCAGCTCTCGCTGGACAAGGAGTTCCGGGTACCGCTGGGCAGAAAACGGATGCTCTCCGACGATGAGGACGAGGAGAACGACGCCGAAGCGGCCCAGGTAGGCCACGTTCTTCTTTGTCATGCTGCGGTGCTCTAAGACGATGTGTAGTCATTCGGGGTGGGCATGAGACGGACATATTTACGGGCATAACTTCTTCGAATGAGTAATTTTGTGTGTGCCGCTGCATGAAATTCCCCTCGTGTTTGTCGCTTCAGTGTCCTTTCCTCAATTGTCTTTGCTTGTGTCCTGTAACTTGTTACGTTGGAACGCTGGTTCTGAATAATGTTGGAAGAAGAGATGAATACTGTGCAATCCATTGCGATTCGTTTCAGCACACCGAAGTGTTGCTCGCGGGTTCCCGGCGCACTTTTGAAATGCATATTGATTATACGGCAGACAGACCGACATGCCCACTCTGCTGCACACACCAGCATTCGTCTGGTCCTAGGCGATAAGTGGTTAACCAAACTGTCACTTCCGCTACGTAGGTAAGATGACCATGCACGCTACAAACGTTAACGCACTGGTGACGCCATTGTGACGTCGCAGGGGTCGTCGAGGACGGGCCGGTCAGCGGAGGCCGGCGGTCGGACGAGGACGCCACCTGCTCTGGGAGATATCGGCCGATCCATCGGCGAGGCGCTCGCTCCGGGTGCCCCCCAGACCGGCGTCTCGGGCGGCGAGGCGCTCACTCCGGGTGCCCCACAGACCGGCGTCTCAAGCAGCGAGGCGCTCACTCCGGGTGCCCCCCAGACCGGCGTCTCGAGCGGCGAGGCGCTCACTCCGGGTGCCCCCCAGACCGGCGTCTCGAGCGGCGAGGCGCTCACTCCGGGTGCCCCCCAGACCGGCGTCTCAAGCGGCGAGGCGCTCGCTCCGGGTGCCCCCCAGACCGGCGTCTCAAGCAGCGAGGCGCTCACTCCGGGTGCCCCCCAGGCCGGCGTCTCGAGCGGCGAGGCGCTCACTCCGGGTGCCCCCCAGACCGGCGTCTCAAGCGGCGAGGCGCTCGCTCCGGGTGCCCCCCAGACCGGCGTCTCCAGCGGCGAGGCGCTCACTCCGGGTGCCCCCCAGACCGGCGTCTCGAGCGGCGAGGCGCTCGCTCCGGGTGCCCCCCAGACCGGCGTCTCCAGCGGCGAGGCGCTCACTCCGGGTGCCCCCCAGACCGGCGTCTCAAGCAGCGAGGCGCTCACTCCGGGTGCCTCCCAGACCGGCGTCTCAAGCAGCGAGGCGCTCACTCCGGGTGCCCCCCAGACCGGCGTCTCAAGTGGCGAGGCGCTCGCTCCGGGTGCCCCCCAGACCGGCGTCTCCAGCGGCGAGGCGCTCACTCTGGATGTCCCCCAGACCGGCGTCTCCAGCGACGAGCCGACTTTGGCGACGGCCGCTACCGATAGCGCATCGCCGCTGCGCATTAGCGAGATTTTCTCGCTGAGCGACCCGGTCGGCGCCATGCCGACAGTGGGCCGCTCGCCCTCCTCCGACCCCCTCCAGGCCCTGAACGACGCACTGGACGCGTTAATGGGCGACGCGTCAGGCCAGCCGCCGCCGCCGCCGTCAGCGGGCGCAGGCGCGGGTGAGCCCCCGCCCTCGGCCGTGGCATCCGGGGACCCGCCGCCGGCCGGCGAGGCACCGCGGACGGCCGAGGACGCCGCGCCGGCGCAGGCGGCCGACTTTGCGCTCCCGCGGCCGCTCAGCGCCTCCCCGCCGCAAGTGACGAGGCTGCTGAAGGAGGAGGTTGTGCTGCCCGCGGTGCCTGCTCCTCCGATGGTGATCATCCACCAATCGCCGGCGGTGTACGTGGTTGAAGCGTCGGTCACATCTGGGAGTGGCGCGGGTGTTTCCCAGAATGGCTCCAAGACGTCGGCGCCTGCAGGCGCGCCGCCTGCGCAGCGGGCCGAGAAGCGGCGCGGTAGCACCGACAGTTTGGTCGACACGGCACCGCTGGAGCCCGGACGGAAGAGGAGACGCAGCGACGCTCATGGGGCCCAGGCGAGCCTCCAGGGACGGGCATCGCTGACACAGGCAGAGCGGAGTGCGCCCGGGCAGCCGGAGGTCAGGTCCCAGGGCGCCGACCAGGGGACGGGACTGTCACGATCGAACCCGGCCGCCAACGCGGGAAACCAGCGGGGACCATCTGACGGTCAGGGGGCAGGACGGCAGGTCCGCGCGGAATACGCCGCTGGCGCCGCGCAGGGTAGCCGCTTGCAGTCTGTGCTGTCAGTTAATCGGCAGAAAAGGCAGCAGCAACAGCCGGACGCTCCCCCCGGCCAGCAGGCGAAGCAGCATCAGTCCTGCGCCAGCAGCCAGCCGACCCGACGTGACCCGGAGGTCGGTCACGGGGAGTCTGCCCGTCCTCTGAAGCGAGGCCGAGCCAACCGGGACATACTAATGCCGCAGCGGCCCACCGACACGCAGCCGAACCGCTTCATGCTGAACCGGCCGTCTGGCGGGCGGAGCCAGGAGGCGGCGCCCCCGGCGCCCCGGCCCGGGACCAAGGTCCCCCAGCCGCGCCCCGCGTCCGGTCGGCCGTCTGGCGGCGGCGCGGCGCAGGATAGCCACCTCCAGTCTGCTCCTCCACTTATTCGGCAGAAAAGGCAGCAGCAACAGCCGGACGCTCCCTCCGGCCAGCAGGTAAAACAGCATCAGTCCTGCGCCAGCAGCCAGTCGACCCGACGTGACCCGAAGGTCAGCCACGGGGAGTCTACCCGTCCTCTGAAGCGAGGCCGAGCCGACCGGGACATGCTGGTGCCGCAGCGGCCCACCGACACGCAGCCGAACCGCTTCATGCTGAACCGGCCGTCGGACGGGCGGAGCCAGGAGGTGGCGTCCTCGGCGCCCCGGCCCGGGACCAAGGTCCCCCAGCCGCGCCCCGCGTCCGGCCGGCCGTCTGGCGGCAAGCCGCGGCAGCCGGGCGCCGACCGCGCCGGGCCGCGCTCTCCGCCGCAGAATGTGGCGGCCGGCCGGGCGCGGCCGGCTGAACGGGCCGCGCCGGGCTCGCCGCCGGCTGAACGGGCCGCGCCGGGCTCGTCGCTGTCGCGGAGCTCGCGCTCCCAGAGCAAGGACTCTTCGTGCAGCGTTGATGAGGCTTCGTCGCTCGCCAACGCAGGGAAAAACAGCGCCTCGGCGACCATGACAGGTGAGTAGCTCAGCATTGTTGTGTTGACAGTGCGTACCGGGAGGCCAAGTGCTGGTTCCCATTGTAATGAGCATGCATGGTGCTGCGAGTTTCGCGTGATTGTCTATTTTTGCGTTTTGCTACGTGCTGTAGCTTCAGAAACCAGTTTGCTGTACTGTCATGGTACGTATCGGTAAACTTTGAGCATGACAGATACGCCAAGCGCAGACAACGCTTGTCAGTCGAGCTGCGGCGGCATGTTATGGTGATTTCTGCCGCGCTCTCCTGGATCTCGGTCACAAGTGACAGCGAAAGATGTTGGTTATAAGGCAAGCTCTAATCTTAGCACATGTAGTTGCTCGGATATGCCTGTGGATTTTACTGGATTCCTTGAAGTACAAAGCAGAATATACCTGTTAGCAATGATTCGAGCGTCGCTTGGGGTGGAATCCTGGCCGTGCGCTTTACCGCGCGTGTTTCGTTTTTCAGTTCCGGGTGTCCTGGCCACGGACGAATTTATTCTGCGCAACTGCGCGCCCCCAGACCACGCCGATCGGCACAGTTCATCCGAGGATGGTGCCGAAGAGTCGCTGGACATAGAGCTGTGCGTCGAGGAGCCGCCGGAGGCGGTGCCCCCGCCCGCCCCGGCGGCGACTCGTCCCAGTCCGCGGGCGGTGCCGTCAGAGGCGGTGCCCCCGCCCGCCCCGGCGGCGACTTGTCCCAGTCCGCGGGTGGTGCACCCGCTCGCCCGGGTAGAGGCTAGTTCCAGTCCGCTGGCGTTACCGTCAGAGGCGGTGCCCCCGCCCGCCCCGGCGGTGCCCCCGCCCGCCCCGGCGGCGACTCGTCCCAGTCCGCTGGCGGCGCCGTCAGAGGCGGTGCCCCCGCCCGCCCCGGCGGTGCCCCCGCCCGCCCCGGCGGCGACTCGTCCCAGTCCGCTGGCGTTACCGTCAGAGGCGGTGCCCCCGCCCGCCCCGGCGGCGACTCGTCCCAGTCCGCGGGCGGTGCCGTCAGAGGCGGTGCCCCCGCCCGCCCCGGCGGCGACTCGTCCCAGTCCGCGGGCGGTGCCGTCAGAGGCGGTGCCGCCGCCCGCCCCGGCGGCGACTCGTCCCAGTCCGCTGGCGGTGCCGTCAGAGGCGGTGCCGCCGCCCGCCCCGGCGGTGCCCCCGCCCGCCCCGGCGGCGACTCGTCCCAGTCCGCTGGCGTTACCGTCAGAGGCGGTGCCCCCGCCCGCCCCGGTGGCGACTCGTCCCAGTCCGCTGGCGTTACCGTCAGAGGCGGTGCCCCCGCCCGCCCCGGTGGCGACTCGTCCCAGTCCGCTGGCGTTACCGTCAGAGGCGGTGCCCCCGCCCGCCCCGGTGGCGACTCGTCCCAGTCCGCTGGCGTTACCGTCAGAGGCGGTGCCCCCGCCCGCCCCGGTGGCGACTCGTCCCAGTCCGCTGGCGTTACCGTCAGAGGCGGTGCCCCCGCCCGCCCCGGTGGCGACTCGTCCCAGTCCGCTGGCGGTGCCGTCAGAGGCGGTGCCCCCGCCCGCCCCGGCGGCGACTCGTCCCAGTCCGCTGGCGGTGCCGTCAGAGGCGGCGCCCCCGCCCGCCCCGGTGGCGACTCGTCCCAGTCCGCTGGCGGTGCCGTCAGAGGCGGTGCCCCCGCCCGCCCCGGTGGCGACTCGTCCCAGTCCGCTGGCGGTGCCGTCAGAGGCGGTGCCCCAGTCCGCCCCGGTGGCGACTCGTCCCAGTCCGCTGGCGGTGCCGTCAGAGGCGGTGCCCCAGTCCGCCCCGGTGGCGACTCGTCCCAGTCCGCTGGCGGTGCCGCCAGAGGCGGTGCCCCTGTCCGCCTTGGCGGTGGCTCGTCCCAGTCCACCGGCGGCGCCGTCGGGGCAAATTTCGCCGTCGGTGTCTGTTGATACGAACGTCGCGGGTTTCTCTCCGCCCGCTGCAGACGGTGTGGACCAGTGTCATCCCACTGTAGGAGATATGGACCCGTCTCCGCCCGCCGCTGCGGGCAAGGACCAGTGTCCGTGCCGTGCAGAAGGCACGGACCAGTCGCCTGTCCCTTCCGGTGGCATGGAGCAGTCTTCTCCCGCCGCCGAAGTCGTACATCAGCCTCTGCATTGTAACGAAACCGGGCAGCCTGTGCCCGCTACGAATAGCAAGGACCAAGATCTGACTTCTACAGAAACAGTCGGGTTTCCTCCCGTTGCGGGAGTGGTGGACCAAAGTGTTCTCGTTGCGAAGGGCACGAAGCAGTCTGTGTCCCTGAGGGAGATTAGTCAGTCTCTCCCCGCCGCTGAGGGCGTGGGCCAGACTCTGCTCTCTGGAGAAACGGACGGGTCACCTGCGACGGGAGACAATAATTCGTCTCCGCTCATTCAGGAAGCGGACCAGTCCGCTTTTTATGCAGATGCCGCGAACCGGCCTCCCGGCTGTGAAGGACGGGATCAACCTCCCGCTGCAGACGATATGCACCGGTCTGATGAGGCTGCGGAAGACCTGGGTCAGCCTGTGGTATCTGGTGACGACGTAGCTCAGTCGTCAAACATCGGGGGCTCTGGTGAAACGCGCGTCTCTGATAGCGGTGTTGAAAGTGCTAGTGCTGCTGATGCCACGGCCGAGGTCAGTTCCGGCCTGGTTGCTGCAAGTGCGATCCGGGCGGCGACGGAAGGCCTTGACCGGCAGCAGGTGTCGACCGAACCCAGGCGCCAGTCGTCTTCCTCTTCTGACTGTACCGGCGCGGCGACAGGCGCAGGACCGGGCTCTTCGGCCAGCGCCCCAGCCCCGGCTGCGGAGGGCGACCAGTCGGGAGCGGGGTGGACATCTGGGGATTCGTCGCTCGACGGGCCCGACGTCGGTCGCCCATCCGACACGCCGCACCAGCCGCCGGAGCGCGGCCGCCCGTCCCCCAACGTCAGCTACTGCGTGCTGTGCTGGGACGGCGGCGAGCTGCTGCTCTGCGACTACTGCGAGCGCGCCTTCCACCGTGAATGCTACGTCGGTCCTGCGGACCACTCTGACAGGTGAGCTGGCCGGAGCGACGGCCGGTGAGCAGATTGAGCGTCGAGCGCTGCAGCTGGCTGAGAGCGCTCCCGTCCGGCTGAGGCTCGTACGGCTGTGTTGTTCCGTCGTGTGATTCGTGTAGCGTTGCGCCTGTCGCTAGGTGCCAGCACTTGCGGTGGCAGCTGCGAACGTGCGTCGGTGGCGCGTTTGACGGCCGTGATCCTCTTGTCCGCAGGGGGCCGTGGCAGTGTCTGATGTGCCGCGTTATGCCGACCCCCACGAGTCCGCTGGAGCGGCGCGTCGGTGACCAGATGAGCACAGAGGACATGACGTTAGCCCGTCGTTTGCTGATGGAGCTCTATGCAGCGTACTATTCGTCCATGTACTTCAAAAGCCTGGAGAATCTATCGGTAAGGATGGGTTCTGCCCCAGTTTGTTATAACATGGAGGAGTTTGGGATGTTGAAGTGGATAGTGCTGGTTTATATAATGTTGATCTTGCTCCAGGATACATGCTGGATGTTCACCACTATACAGACGTATTCTATTATGAAGACTTCCTTTGTCGCTGTGCTGGACAGCAATTATGTTTGCTTATCTGGGGTTTGTTTGCACGCCTTTGATATGTTTGTCGTCTGTCTTCAGCTGAGGCGCTCAGAGAGCACATTTTCCCGGCGTTGGGTGAAGCATATTCAGACGCGGGCTGAGACCGAAATGGGGAAGGGCTTCAGCAAGGAGACGGCCTTCTACTCCAGTATGCACATCATCTGCCAACCATTGAGGGAGGTGAGCATGTTACCGGGTGGGACCAACGCCTTGGCCAGTTGCGTGTGCCGACTTCTCTCGTGACGCGGTGCTTCGCGTCAGCGCAGCGTTAACCAGCCGTCCGCCGCGTGACGTGCCTGCATCGCATGCCACTTGCGGGCGTTTTCATCGAAGCTGTGGTAGGTATTTACACCTGACCGAGCCTTGCGTTATCCCACTCAGCTTGTATCGCAATTAGCCATACGTCAAACGCCAGCTTCTTTCATATTTTAGGTCTTCTGGCCTGAAAGTTGAAAAACTGCGCGTGCTGGTAATGACGCTTTGTTCTTGACTGGCATTTGATGTTTGCCCAGCGCCTGCATGCTGTGTGGCCCCTGGTCCGCCGGGAGGGGCGATTTCCTTCAACGTGCTGTGCGCCCATCCTTAGAATGAGGAGTGGCAGCGTCCGATGGGCTCGAGTCGCGCGGGCGGTGGGTCATTCGGCACCGTGTTGTTGCAGATCATCGAGTATGGGAAGATCGCACGACCCACCTGGCTGGACCAGGTCAGGGACCGGCTGGTCGCAGAGGGCCTCTCCACGCTCATGGGCTGGCTCCGCGACCTGGAGACGCTCGTGGATCACAGCACATCCTCGGAGGTACCAGCCAAATACACGCATCCAGTGTATTTTCAGTATTTTTTTTTCCAAACAGCGAAAGCCAATGTCAGAGCAAGACGACTTGCAACCTCTCTTGCTTCTCTCCCCCCAGCCCCTTCAGACTCCAGAACTCTTGAATCCTGTTTGTGTTGTTACCCGAGTATATTTTGTGACTTGCACAACATCCACCCGACGCTGGAATATCACGAAACGGAGGTGACAGAAACATGTCGCATGTAACTGCATCATCACAATCCTGCGCCATTTAAGATGGAAATATTACATAACCACCTGTGGAAGTAGTATCTGTGAAAGATGGCAATGTTTTACGACGCAGTCCGAGTGGTCTCTCGTGGTGGTCGAGTGGTCAACCGAGTGGTCGAGTCGTCAACCGGTGGTCTCTTAGTCATGTTATTTGCCTCCCCGCATGACGCCGATGCAAACAGTAAACAGTGAGGAATACCAACGCTTGCTGGTGACGCAGCTCAGCACGCTGCTCGCTCACTTGCCCGTAGCAGATGGGCCGACAGTAACATCGTCTGGTGCTTGCTGTTTTGCAGAACGGCTCACCTGTCCACAAGTACCTGGAGGGGACGAGAGAGGCATTCAAGCAGTTCATGCTGCAGCACTTGCGCGTCGCCTGGCTCGAGTTGGACGCGATGTCGGACGAGAAATGGCGGCCAGCCGACTGTCCGGATGAGGCCAACAAAACAAAGTCAAAGACATGGTGCCCCAAGGTACGCTGCGCTGTTAAGAAATAGAGATAGAAATGGAGAAGTCGCGGCAGGGGGTATGACGTCACTACGCAAGGCTGGTACAACATCACTGTCCCGTTGTGATGTGATGTGATGTGATGTGATGTGATGATGTGATGTGAACCGGACCCAGATGTGGACCGGACTATGTCAAATATCTCAGGCCTTATATCACTCAGATGTGAAGATGTGGTGGACGATGGTCTTTGGGAGGAGATTGATCGTGATGAGATGGTCCATGGGAGGAGATTGATCGTGATGAGTCGAGAAGAGAAGTCGCCTGTGTCGCCAGCCGAGTGACTGCGTGCGCACACTTACCATGTCTGGATTAGTGAAGGCGTGTGCCTCTGTTTATGCGCTGATTGTATGGGCTGTGTGATGCCGCTGAATCGCCATTATTATGTCACCATCGGCTGAGCGTGTAGTTGCTGGGCAAAACGAACAACCGCAAAGAACGTGGTGACGAGGGCTCTGCATCTGTGATATCGGCCGTAAGGCGAGTGCTAACCAAGACCTGTTCCTGTCGCGATTCGCATTTCGTTGCTTTGTATTCAGATATTAGCCTTTGATACTCAGACGCGTGTTCCGCTGGCGGGTAGCCAGTGTGAGAAGATGTGCCCAGATGCGCCCTCAGCCTGTTCCGCCAGGCAGACGTTGACTGTTTAATAGAAAAAGATCGACCCTCGAGGTCTTGCCATTCTTGGGCAATGCAAAGATCTTGAGATTCGCAGCTACTGTTTTTAATCGCAGGGTACTGCGAGTGTCGGATCGCTCCCCGTGCTGTGGGACTGGAAGGTTTACAATGGAACTGGCAGGTTTACGAGGCCACATGATGAATGCCGGAACAGCATGCGGTGAGATGAATGACGATTAGGATGCGCAGTTTAGGATGCGTTCCCAAAATACAGCGTAGTAGTTAGCCATAATGTTTAAAAACGTAATCCAAATCCAACGTAAAAGGGAAACATCGTCTCCAGTTTTGTTCGGAGCGTGAGCTGTTTCCGGATGTTTTGTTGCGTGCTGGGGCGACAAGTTAGGGCGCGGGCGGATCCATCTGCTTGCTTGGGGGGGGGGGGGGGGCACGACATAACTAACCTACCACAAGTTTGAAGTTTTCCCCAGCTTCTACTCGCGTTATGTTTCGTGCAGTTTCTTTCAGAAAAAAAAGCACTAGGGAAAGATCGCAAAAACTCAGGAAAAGTGCGCACTGGAGTTTTGGCCATAACCGTATTATCCCTGGCAAAATATTTGAAACCCACGTGGATGCTTGTCAAGTAGATCAGCGTTAACATAATGCATACCACAGAGTAAGTCCAGCCATATGGTGTGGGAGAGGGAGGGGATCAATTATTTAACGGCCAGACAACAGACGACAATGAACGTAAATCAATGACGGTTTTGGCGATGTGGGGCAGAGACCTGGGTTCGCTGATGATGATCTATAATTAGACCTCAACAGTGTTCAGAGAAGTTTGTTTTCTGAGACGCTAATACTTGTGAATGTGATTAAGATTTTTTGACTGCCACATTTTGCAACCAAATGCTTTCCCTCTGCTGGTAGCCTTGCAGGATTCCTTATTCCCATCAAAGTACACATTCCCCCCGTCTTCCGAAAAATTTGGCGTAGATCGATCGTCTCTTTACATTCGCCGCAATGCCCACTGTTATCGGTCAGACCGACTTCCCCGACCTGCCCGCTCATGCAAGCTTGCAACTGGCCTTCCACGTCCAAATTTTACCCCGCGTTACGTTTCGGTTTTCTTCTGAATTATTTTGTCTCCTCGCTCCATTCTCCTGGCACCAATAAGTGACGCGAATACAGATGGCGATGATACAGGGGGGGGGGGGGGGGGGGGGGGAGAACGTTGTCGCCCGCTGACCCGGGAACCCGGTCAGACCGCAGTGAACGCGCACGGGAAGCTGACCCAGAGCCCATGGCACGCTCGGGCCCCAACCAGCAGCAGCGTCACCGCTCGGCTGGCGCCCCGAGACCGACCGGCACGCTGGGAGAACAAGACTCAGCATCGAGACCGGGTCCTCAGCGCTAACAACAGCCGGCGCGAGAACGCCAGCCATTTCGGGACAACCCCGAATAACAAGTCCATGCCTGTGGCGTCTCGCGTCCGGAACGGGCTGTCCCCGTTTCATGCGGCCAGAGGTACCGGTCCTGAGAAATCATGTGCGTAAACAGCCCGTGTGCGGTCTCCCGCCCCTGAAATGAGGGGGTGGGCGTTTATCTGGGTCAGACTCTGGCCTGGCTGCGCCGAGCTGCGTGGGAACGAGGGCAGCGATTGGGGATGCAGGTTCTCGCCCTCCGTCCCGCCACTGGCCACGTCTGACAGGGCAAGCAGCTTGAGGTTTTTTGGCAAGCCTTTTGTGGGCTAAAGATTGTTAGCAATTCAAGCGTTGCGTGCTTTGTTATGTTGGTTGGTAAAATTGTACCGCTATCACATCAGGCAGCCAATCCAAGCGCGGACAAATGCTGATGAAAATAATCTTCTAATTCCGCTAAACAGGACCACACCTGGCAAGTTGTCCAAACGCCATGAGCACCTAGGCGTGGATATGCATGCCAATATGATCAGGGGCGCAGCCAGAGCGTTGATAAAGGGGGAGGGGCACAGGATTGACGAAATCCCCACGAAAAAAAACACGGGATCAAGTCTGCTCGATTTCGAGGGCTACGATTTTCTTCATACCATTTTCATTTTTCCTTAACTGCAGAATGCATGCCAGAAACTACCGGAAGATGCAACTCGGGTCATATTTCGAAGCTATAAACTGAAGAGAACAGCATCAATGGCTGCATGGAATAAACCACCGGCACTATCTATTTCTCAATGGTCTAGCAGGCTCTTCCTAAACGGACAGAACTCGAGGATTTGCCAGAATACTTGTCCTGAGTTCTACAGAGATGTTGAAGACGCTATGAGGAGCCACGAGCACTATCATAGATTGAAATGGGTTTAAAAAAGGTTTAACATGGCCAGCACGTTATTTGTTGGGGAATGTCCGACCTTCATTCAGAACAAAAAGGAAGAAAACTACGTAACATGGTTTTGAGTACGCGCGCTCACAGGACTTAACACAAAACCCCGACGCCTTGTGCTGCAGTCTCCATAGGCCACGTGGCCCTGGCGCTGCGGCGTACTCTATGTGGCGGAGAATGAGCGGACAAAAACGATGACGGTTATGAAATAAATAGCGTTTGATGACGGTTCTGAACTAAAAATTTTGGACGCTTTGGGACATCAATTCATGCATTTTCGACATTGAATCATTTATGATCATGATTCATGTTTGAAAAAAGAAAATAGCAGGACCGGGCCAAATGATCACAGATCCGAAGGGTGCAAGTAAAGCGTAAAAAGTCGGCTGGGTAAATCGTCAAAATGCATCAAAATGAAGCCATCCTGGGGTCCTGAGAGTCAATCTCACAGCGCCCCTTTCGGAACAAATCCAGGGCTCTCCGCATGGCCAAGAGATCATTTGTACTCTTAACATGTCAGCCATAGGCCCCAACAAACACGTGAAAGTCAGAAGGGCCGTTTTGTTACAGGCGGGACGGCAGTTGCGAGAACGGGCAGGGAAGAGAGGCGGTAGTCCTCTGTCTGCCAGCATGGCCAGCAATAAAATGCATTTTGTGCCCCCAATCATTTGTGAGGTTCCTTTTTAAGCGAAGCTGAACGCTGTGCAGTTGCGCATGTATTGTGGAAATTCGGGTCGAGGAGGACCATGACTGAGCTATAGGGTCCTTCGCTGAGCTCAGGAAGCCGTTATTTGCACCTAGATGCCACTCTGCCGGATCAAGAAGCCCCTTTACGAACTGTTTACGCCCTGGGCTGCAACAGAATTCCCCATGATGTATATTGTGTTGCGTCGTTACTGCTCACCGGCCCGTTGTGAATCAGCAGAGTTCTGTTGAGAGGCGCTCCATGAATCAAGAGGCTGCTGTGTTCGGTCAGGAGACCCCTTCATGTATCCATGGACAGCCTGCTTCAGAAGGCCTTGTTCGGGATCAGGAAGCCAGGAGGATCTCTGTGCTGGGATGAGGAAGCCCTTCACTGGATTGGGGCCCCTTATTCATTCAGGAGCTTGCGATCCTCCCACCTTGGGTGCGACATGCGGCTGTGACAGATCGTTTTCACCCGCACCCCGATGGGCAACTTTTTATCCATCCCCCTCCCCAAATTGCCCAGCCAGGCGCACCGACTACGTCACCATGTTCGGACAGAAAACACTTGGGCTTGGCCCCCAGAATGATGACTAACGAAGTGACATGATTTTTTATTCCGGGAAGCAGTCATTTCGGTAATATAAATGTTTGGTGTAGGCTAGAGCTAACCAGGTCGTGTTCTCTCGTTGAGTGTCTATTTATTTTTCTGTAATGTACGGCAGACGGATGAGAGTTTGCACAAAAATGGCTTCGTCCGCGGGTAAAGGCGTGCACCGCCATACTAAGGTTGCTCTCGCCGCCTGTCCGCGATCGGGGAGCCTCTCAAAACAGGACAGAGCAGCAGGCAAGCCGGCTAGGTGGCCAGCGACTCCCGCTCAACCCGACCCAAACACCATCATCAATCAGGGGGACAGGCAGTAACCTGACGGGGGGAAGAATGTTCACCCTGCTCACCCGCCAGAACCTGCACCTGTCCGGGTCATGACAAGACGGAGCGTCTACGATCGGCCGGAGCTCTGAGATGAATCGACCCACGGCGTCGGACCATCCGCGAGAACCCCGTCCGGCCACCCCCTCCTCCCCCCTCCCCCCCCCCCGAACCCCGCCGCGACGGTGTCGATGTCACGACAGCTGAAGCTGTAGCGCCGGGCCAAGCGTGAGAACTCGGCCAGGGAGGGACACGGAATGGTCTGGTCGGGACGCAGCGCCACGGTGTCTGTAACTCACGCAGCTGGCGGGCCGCTGACGCGTCAGCACCCGCCAGCAGAACCCGTGGTGGCGCCGACCACGCCGAGTGATAACGGCGCGGTCAGGTCGTGCGGCTCGCGGGTCGGTGACGCGCCAAAACCCGCCAGCCGGACCCGGGGTGGCGCCGGCTGCGGAGGACGGAGTGCCGAGGGACGTTTCAAACTGCACCGAGGCTGTGAATAGTAAGAATTGAGATAAACGAGGGTGCAAAGCGAAGGAGACGAATGTTTGCCCGCGCCCCAGTGGTGGGCGGACCGCCGAGTGGGGCTGATCAGCCGGTAGTCGGGCGTGTCGGCTACGTACGCTTTGCACACGATCTTTGGAGGGACCATTCCCGTGGCTAGGAGATCGAGTGGGGTCGTTATTGGAAGTGCTGGCCGGCGTGTACGTCCGTCAATCTAGCAGCAGATTGATATCCAATTGCCAGTTGGATATTGCGGGGCATCTCGATTGCCTCCAAATTTGGTGTGCAGGGCCTTCTCAACACGCTGATTCCGAAAATAACGACCTTTGGGAGTGAATTTTGCGTAATTTTCGAGTTATACGCTGCGTAACATCCCAATGTGACATTGCGGGGCGTCTCGATTGCCCCCAAATTTGGTGTGCAGGGCCTTCTCAATACGCTGATTCCGAAAATCACTGCCTTTGGGGTAGAATTTTGCGCAATTTTCGAGTTATACGCTGCGTAACATCCCAATGTGATATTGGGGAGCGTCCCAATTGCCTCCAAATTTGGTGTGCAGGGCCTTCT